TGATTTCCTTGTAATTTTTGAAGTTCTGTGTCTACACTATTCCCTCTTTTGAAGTTAAATTCATTATACATCGGTATCTCTGCTCCCTATTTTCAGGTTTGTTTTATTTTAAATACTTCTATATCTGGATTGAGTTCTGGGTGGTGTTGTCATGTATGGCAATCTCAGGTTGTTGTCTATTGTTGTTGGTTCTCAGTCCAGAGAACACCCTTTAGCATTTTTTTAAAAAGTTGAACTGGTCATTATAAATTCAATTTCTGCTTATCAGGAAATGTCCGAATTTCATTGTATTTGAGGGACAGCTTTGTTGGGTACGTGATTCTTGGTTGACAGTTTGTTTCTTTCAGAGTTTTGTAGGTATCATCCCATTGCCTTCATGCCTGCATGGTTTCTAATGAGAAATCAGAGCTTTGTCTTATTGGTTCTCCTTTATAGGTAACTTTTCGGTGTTCCAAGTTGTTCTCAGGATTCTTGTCTTTGATTTTGGAAAGTTTGCTTATGGTATGTCTTGGTGATTTTCTTTTGGGATCTATCCTGTTTGGGGTTCATACAGCTTTTTTTATGCTTATCTTCTCGTCTTTCATAATATTAAGGAAGATTTCTTCCAATAGCTCTTGAACAATTTTCTCTGTGTTCTTGATGGTCTCTTCCTGTTCTGGAATTCCAATCACTTGTAAGTTGTTCCTCTTCATGGTACCCTACAGAATTCTTAAACTTTAGATTTTTCATTATTTTTTCTGATTGTTCATATAGCATACTAATATTGAGAGTTATCTTCAAGGTCACTAATTCAGGGTTCCATTGGTTTGAATCTTCTTCTTTGCCCTTTCGCTGTATTGCCCATTTCTGAAATTTTAGTATTAATTTTCTGGATTTCTAATTGCAGGTTTTGTATTATTTCAAAATTTGCATTTATTTTGTCTGTTTGTTCTTGTAGCACTTTCCTTAATTGTTCTAAAGTGTTGTCCTTGTTTTCTTCTATTTTTCTGTCTATCTATGTTCAGAGCACTCAATCTGGAAGTAGTTCATGGGGCCCTGGATGGAGCTGGTTTCAGTACCTATTAGGATCACAGGGAAGCTGGGGGAAGGGTGACTGGGGGACGGGTGATTCTGCAGGTTTTGTAGGTCTGGAGACGAACCCACCTGAATCCAGACACCAAAATGGCACCCCAAAGTGGCATAGCTGTCCCCCACTAGCAGTGAATGAGGGTGGGGCTGACCACACCTCTGGTCACCAGGGGAGTGTGAAGAAAAAGAAATTGCACCTTTCCCATCATCCACATTAATCTGCTCTGCCAGGCTGTCTTCTACTGCCAAAGGTGCCCAAAAGATGGGTGAGCCACCTCTGGTCAGCCACTCACCAGTCAGTCTCCTTCTCTCTCTGTCCCTGCTCAGTCTCTCCTCCCAGAAAACTTTCCATCCACCTCTCTGGCCTTTCTTCTGAAGCTCAGATGCCAGAATTTTCATCTGTTTTATTTGGTCCCTTGTACCCTTGTTGTAGTGTAGTGGTTACGAATCAGCCTGTGAACCTCAAGGTCAGCAGTTCAGAATTACCAGCTGTTCCATGGGAGAAAGATGAGGCTTTCTGCTCCCGTAAAGATTTATAGCCTTGGAAATCATGTACAGGGTTGCTATGAGTCGGAACTGACTCCACGGCACATAACCACCACCACCATCTTTGTTGTGGAGGGTCCATGTATTGCATCTGCCTAGTCTGCCATCTGGCTAGAAATCCACCTTTAAGCATTGTAAGGTTTAATTCATCAGATGACATCATGGGGAATCATCATATCACTGCCACATCACATCATCACATCACTGCTAGACCACTGAGAATCCGGACCCAGCCAAGGTGACACATACGCTGAGGGGACACGCTTCAACCTATGACAATGGACTTCGGCCCTTTGTCAAAGATAGCTGCCCATAGGTGGATGAATATACTTCTGTGCTCTTAATTCTATTTCATTGGTCTATGTGCCTGTCATTTTGCCAATACCAGGCTGTCTTGACTAGTGTGGCTATATAAATAGGTTTGAAATTGGTGAGCATCCTGAGCCCATGGGCACTGACCTATCCCCTGGGAGGCTATAGCTGATGATGAAGCAGCCAGTTGTCCTGAAGTGCAGGGAGGTGTGCATGAACTCTGAAACTTGTAGCTAGTACCTGGTTTGGATGGCTAGCTGACCAGATTCGACCAGATGAAGATAAAGATGTTTGATACTGTGAGCAAGTACAAATTGCTTTAATTTGATGAACTAGACTTTTGCTTATGGATGCAAAAGTTGTTCAAATTTTCAACTGGAATGGAAGGATTTTCCATATCAAGGAATAAGCTTGTTTCCTCAGTGCATTGGGGTTGATAGGGGCAGGCAATTTAGACATTTGTTATAAAAAATTGGGGGCTATAAAAACAAGAGGAGTCCTGGTGTGAGTTATTGCGCTAGACTGCAAAACTGATTCGAACGACAAGTTTGGCTTTTCAAGCTTACCAGTCATTCCTCAGAAACCCTATACAGGGTTGCTGTGGGTTGGAACCAACCCAATGGCACTTAACATAAAGACATGAAGTAGCTGGCTTACAAGCTTTCATGAATGTGCTTAGTTTCAGAACGAGGGAGGTAAGGTAGAATCCCACTGAATAGTTTTCTTCTCCAGATGGATCTGGTGAAAGGGGGTGGGGCTAGTGCTGATAGAATTTTATGATGGAATTGTAACTGTTAGCAGGATTAATCATGATTGTCACAGCTGTCATTGTAGAAGATGTGTAAAGGGGATGTAGTTAATCTTTTATTTCAGAATGGATGATCCCAGGGCCATCAAGAAGAGCATGAGTGGAGCATGAGATTCTGACCTAGAAAAGTGGCAACAGCAGAGACGTTGGCAGAGGTAACGGCATGGAGAGAGAACATCTTTGGGTTCTAGGCCCACGGACTGAGTAAGGCTGTGTGAGTATGGTCGGGGGCTGGCTTGCAGAGTATGCCCTTAGGACATTTGAATGAATACATATTTTTTATTTTGTCTGTGTACATCAGTTTTTGCTTTGTTCATTTGTGAAATATAAGATGTAAATGGGGAGCCACAGGGACGAAGTAGGTTACCTGTTGTTGCAGGGAGGGAATCATAATCACTGAGATGAAGCAAAGTGTATAATTTGTTGAATGTAAAGCTGATGATCTTGTCTGTTACCTTCACTCGATTCATAATAAAGTTAAAAAAAGAAAGAAAGAAAAAAATACCCTGAAAACTGGCTCCTCTGTCATTAGTTTCGTAGATTGGAGCGTATGTAACTGCATGAAAGCCAAAGCACTCCATTCAGAGTTAAAGGAAGTCTGGGAAAGAGGAAAACAGAGGGCAGGTAGCCAGGAAGAGAGACAAGTGCTGACTGAAGGATGTTTTAGTTTTTCCATTTCTTTACATAAAAGATGTGACATAGTTTACCACTGATACAGCCCTTAAATAACCACTGGACAGTGCAATGAAGTGCTATTTATACTCAGATCCTCCAGATTTAATCATTATTTCACACACGCTGTGGCAACAAGATTTTATACTGAATAACTTTATTGTCAATCACATAATCTTGATTTAGGGTCTATATGTCAAGAAGTTACACAGTCATAAAGACCAACTCTTCATTCATTACCTTAAACAGTTTGGAAAATTTTCAAGTTCGTGACACATATTCATTGCACTTAAAAATTAAATATGCAGTGAAAGAAAGAATACATTTATAATGACATCAATCAAAGGAGTTTTACTCTTGAATTTGCTTTACCTCATTACAAAAAATTCAAAACCACCTTCCCACCTAGAATTTACGTAGGTTTTCTCCTTCCCTGGGATTGAAGTAGTAAAAGGGATTGGAGGATTTAAACAAACGTGAATGTTACTGAGAAGCACAAGGGGAAAATCTTGATGCGGCTGATGAAGACCAGAATGCAATACTGCCTGGCTGAGAAAGGAACTATATCAATCTGTGTACATTGCAAGCAGTAACTTCTTTGTCTCGCCTTCAAATATCTTTCCCACAGTCAGGACACAAGATATCATCCCTTTCTGTGAGGAAGCCTCGTCCCACCAGTGAGAGGGAGCACTTCTTACAGTTAAAGCAATCATTATGCCACTGCCGTTCTTCAAAGGAGATGTACTTTGTGCCTCCAATTCCTGTGAATAGTGGGAAAACGACAATGCAAGAAAACAAAGAGGACAGTTAAGATCAGGCCTTTGTTATTATTGTTAGCTGCCATAGAGTCAATTTCAACTCACAGCCCACCCCTGCGTGACAGAGTAGAGCTGCCCATAGGGTAGAGTCCTGGTGTGGTGCTGTGAGTTAATGCACTGGACTGCAGGTTGATTTGAACCACAAGGTTGGAGGTTATGGTTCCAAGGAGCAACCACAGCTGCTCCTTGGTAACTCAATACTATGTGTCAGAACCAACTCGATGGCTATGTGTCAGAACCAACTCGATGGCACTTAACAACAACAACAGCAACAACAATCCTTCCGGGAACAGATCGCCAGCTCTTTCTCCCACAGAGCCACAGGGTGGGTTCAAGTTCCTACCTTTCTGTTCATGCCAAGTGCTTAACAGTTATACCACCAGGCTTGATGCATTTCCAATTTTCAGTTATGTATTGTGGACAACCAATGAGCTGAATGTAATAGCTGGAAATCATACATAGTGGAACTTTTCCTGTAATGTTGAATAATACACTTTTCTCTCCCTACTCAGTCACTGATTTTAGTGTGTTTAATAGTTTAGTCCAGTACTTGGGTCTGTCAGCCCATCAGTTTGGGGCTGTTCACTTTGGAAGGGACAGGAAAAGTACCTAGACTGTGCCCTGTATGCCCCCCTCACAGAATGAGAGTCTTTCAGTAGAAAAGTCTCACTAGGAGGCTATGAAGCACAGCACCATTGCTCAGCCTGAAAACGCCAGCTTTGATCTCGCATATATAGGTGCAGTTTTGGAGCTCATGCATCCCAAAGCAAAGCTCATAAACCGATAGAGAGCAGGCCACATGCTTTAAAGTGATCAGGTGAACAAGAGGTGAAGTAGTTGCTTGTTGGAGTGTATCTAATTTAACGAAAACTTTTGCTAGGCTTAGAGACTTTAGTTTTAGAAACAGATTCCCATGCTAAAACTCTACATACCTTGTCATCTTCAAATTGCTATGTGAAGACTGACAGACAGTCAAGTGCATTTAAGTGAGAATTCCATGTTCGGTTCAAGCTAAATACTTACCACTGATTGGGTTGGTACATCCTGCACACTTCTTGGCGTATAAGTCACAGAAGCAATTCAGGCAGTAAGCGAACTCGTCTCGAGATGTAAAACGCTGCCCGGACAGCTGCTTCTTGCAGGCAGTGCACACAAAACACTCCTTGTGCCAGGGCTGCTCCCGGTAAGTGACCCCTCCGGTGGTGATGGGCTGGCATGGAGGATAACATGGGGGCCAGGGTCAGTGTTTCTAGTCAACAGTGGCCTTGCTTTTCATAAATGTCCTCGATCTCAGTTATCGTCACTGATTCAAAATCTTTACTTGGTTGTAAATGCCACTGAGGCACTGTTCTACAAAGCTTCCCAGTCACCCACTCCCTTTGGTGACCTTCCTTTCATCTAATTTCACAATATTGCTCTGACCTGACTTTCCTCTGTGCACTCGGCCATTTCATTCTCTCGCCCACCCAATCCCTCCAACCCCCAACCAAGTTTAGCAGTTGCTTTCTTGATTGTTCAAAGAACACCATAACAAAGGCAGTTTGGGGAAAGTGAGCTCTTCTTTCTCACATTATGTCAAACCTGAGAAAATATATGGGAATGTTTTATATATATATAAAAGGTAGGGCTAAAGGAGTTTTAAAAGTCTCAGAGCACAACAGTGTCCTTGAAAGGACTGCAACCCAGGCTCAAGAGAGAAACTGCCCAGAAGTGCATCGGAATAATGAAATGCAAAGTAAAGTAGGCATGGCTGTGATGGGTACAAGTACCACAGGGTACTTTCTTGGGGAAAGTGAGAACTGACAGGTGGGGTTATGGAGAAAAACTGGCCAGATGTGCAAGGTCCAAAGGCAAGAAAGAGTTACCTTTTTGCATTGAACACACTGCATGGCATATTGCTTCTCATAGCAAGGCACACAGAAATTCTGATTGTCTTTAGGGATGAAACTCTTAGTTCCAATTGGTTGTTGGCAACGATGGCAGGTAAAGCAGGTCTCATGCCAACTGCTGCCCTTGTACTCCATCTTGCGGGTACCTGTCACCAGAGTCAAGAACAAAGGAGAGTTATTGTTAAAATGACTGGCTCAGAGTACAAGCAATCTATGTTCAGAGCCACCACCATCTAGCTTTGTGGCTGTAGCAAGTCACTTAAGCTCCTAAAGATTCTCCTCTAACTGGAGATCATTTCTTTTCTGTAAAAAGCAAGGACTTTGCCTTTCGGTTCACTGCTATACACCCCCAACTCTTAGAATAATATACACACACACAGGTACTCACTATTTATTTGCTAACCAGGATGGCGATGAACATTAAATGGAAACATACATATGTAACTATGGATCTATGTACAAGGAATCCTTGTGTGGTGCTGTAGGATAAGCACTTGACCAAAATATTGGTTTGAACCACAAGGTTGGCGCTTCAAACTCACCAGCCTCTCCTCAGAAACCCTGTACAGGGTTGCTATAAGTCAGAACTGACTCAATGGCACTTAACAACAACATATAGGTTGTTAAGTGCTATGGAGTACATTCTGACTTATAGCAACCCTGTGTAGGGTTTCTGAAGAGCAGCTGGTGGGTTTGAACTGCTGACCTTGTTAGCATTCCCGTGTTGATCCTACAGTGCCACACCATGAGAAATATAGGGTCCTATATAGTGGTGCTATAGGACAAGCACTGGACCGCTAATCATAAGGTCAGTGTTTTAAACCCGCTAGTCACTCCTCTGAAACCCTTTACAAGGTTACTATGAATCAGACTCGACACCACCTAACAGCAACAACAATATATTGTTGTTAAGTGCCATTTAGTCTATTCAGACTCATGTACAACAGAACGAACACTACCCAGACCTGCGACATCCCCATAATCACTGTTATCCTTCAACCTGTGGCTGCTGCCCCTGTGCCAATCCACCTCATTGAGGGTCTTCCTCTTTTTCGCTGACTCCACTTTACCAAGCATGATGTCCTTCTCAGCAGTTGGTCCTTTCTTACAATAAGTCTGAAGTATGAGAGACAAAGTCTGGCCATACTGGCTTCTAAGGAATATTCTGCTTACTTCTTACTACATAGATTTGTTTCTCTGGCATTTCATGGTACTTTCAATACTCTTCTCCAACACCGTAGCTCAAATGCAGCAATTCTT